ACATTTTTTAATATAACTCTGATTGTATTCGTCTGAAAGAAGAAAGTCATGTACACCTAGGATGCTTTGAGGGTGAGTAAATCATGGGGTAATTTTCATTTTTGGGTGAACCATCCCTTTAATGCCCGCCTAACTCGGAAACTCAGGTATCAAAATTATCTCAGAGTCCCATTTTTTAAATATGACTTGAGAGGCAGTTCATGTCCAATTTACTACTAGAAAACTCGCATTTACGATAATTCCGATACCATGTGAAGGCAGAAAAATATTCAAACAAATGACCTGAACAAACCAGATTTGCAGTGATTAGTTAAGAAAAAAGCTGCAGTCTTGCTCTCAATCAACCAAGAATTTGACCTTTTCTGATATTAATTCTGGGAACATTTGTGGCCTAATGGTAGAGAGTCAAACTTGTAACCAGAAGTTCACGGGTTCAATTCTCAGTACCGACGGGAAATGTGCAGTAGGTGGGGGGAGGGAACGAACAGCGCTCTCTTCCACCTTCAATACCCACAACTGAGGTAGCAGCAAAAATGTCTGCCCACTGCTCCGGTTGTGTGTTCACGGTGTGTTCACTACTCACTGCTGTGTGTGTGCACTTGAATGGGTTAAATACAGAGGACAAATTCCAAGTATGGGTCACTTAATCACAACTTATTTTGTTTACTTATGTGATGCAAACATGTTAACCAATTACGTTAATACAGCATACTAATATAATAAAAATCCAAATCCAAAAAGAGCTGGAATAGGCATCTTTTGATTGAAGCAAAAACAGATGAAACAAACAAACACTGGCCTAAATCTGATTTTCATCTGATTTTCTTAAAAGCATGACTCAGAATGCATGATATAATGATTTTGAGTATAAGGAGAACTAATACAAATGCAGATGGCAAAGCAGAAGAGAACTGTGGGAAAGGAATGTGCATGTCTATGTATATTCAGAACACATTCTCATGTATAATCAATACTCACCAGCCTGGTAGTCGTACAGAGCCCTGGCACAGACACCGCGATCATCTGTCGTCTCATACGTGTTCTGCTCCTCCTCCTATCAAACGTTCACAAATCACTCAAATCACACACACCTCACGTCCACTTCAAGACAGCATGCAATAAAAAATGGATGCTTTTAACTTTAAAGACCCCATGCAAAGTTTGTGGCTTTTGGTTCATATATATTAGTTTGAGCTCATCTATATACTGGCATACGCTAAAAGACAGACAAAACCAGCTCCTAAAAATATACAACATATAACAACGAAAAATAACGATGATTCAAACTGCAGTACACAGAATATCGTCCAATCAAAAGCTCTTTAGAGATGATTTTCGCTGTAACTGCTGTCATAACTAGTTCGTTCCTGTAGTGAGGATCGTACCTGTGCTGGTTCCTCATAGATGGTGTCTTGTTCCACTACCGCCTCATATTGTGGCTGCTTTTGTTCTACGGGCACTTCATAGTCATCAATGACTGCTTGTACATCTGTGAATGAAAACAAGACCGAGAGAAGTTATTTGCGACGGGTCCTGTAAGAGCTTACCTTCCCCACAAGGTGGTGCTGACAATCAGTTGACTGACTGACACAAATGTGGGCCTGATGATGATAATATGACAGCGAGATGGGATAATGTAACAAAACAAATGACAGGAGTTGATAATGCATGTGAGAATCCCACCTTCATACTCTGGCTCGGGTTCTGGTTCTGGTTCCACATAATGAGATCTGGGTTGTTCCTCAAAACTGGGTTCTATTCAAAACACACACACACACACACACATGCGTGGAAACACACATGCATGGTAACAAGCACACACTGGGAGAGCTGGATCTGTATTCTGACACACCGCAGATGGGTAGAGTCAGAGTTTGATAGTTAAAAGCGCTTTAGTGATTTTATATGATAGTAACTGTATAGATCACAATATAGCTATTTTTGATGGGAATTCAACCCCCCCCCCCCAAGAAAATAAAAAAAATTAAAAGACCAGATTATTAACAACAACAATAATATAAATCCACCCTCAGTGCAAATGAAGCTGCTTGAAATGGTTTAAAGGAACACTCCACTATTTTTGAAAATAGGCTCATTTTCCAACTCCCCTAGAGTTAAACAGTTGAGTTTTACCGTTTTCGAATACATTCAGCCGATCTCCGGGTCTGGCGGTAACACTTTTAGCTTAGCTTAGCATAGATCATTGAATATGATTAGACTGTTAGCATCTCGCTCAAAAATGACCAAAAGAGTTTAGATATTTTTCCTATTTAAAACTTGACTCTTCTGTAGTTACATCGTGTACTAAGACCGACGGAAAATGAGAAGTTGCTATTTTCTAGGCCGATATGGCTAGGAGCTATACTCTCATTCCGGCGTAATAATCAAGGAACTTTGCTGCCGTACCATGTGTGCAGCAGGCGCAATGATATTACGCAGTGCCTGAAAATAGGCTAACTTCCATCAA